ATGTTCATATAGTTTCATATTTTTACACAATATGGGATTTCAAGAAGGACATTGAGGTGCCTGGAGCATTTTCAAAGAAGGACAACAAAGCTGCCAAAGAATCTGAAGCCCAAGTCCAATGAGGAGCTGTAATTGTTTAGCTTAGATAAAAGGAGGCTCAGGGAGTAACTTACCTCTCTCTACAACTATCTGAAGAGAGATTATAGCCAGGTGGGGATCCAACTCTTCTGCCTCAAGATTTCTCAAGTGAAAGGATGAGACAAAATGGCTTTAAGGTGCCATTCCTGAGGAGGTTCAGATTAGATATTAGAATAGGTTTTTTTTTCACTGAAAGAGGTTAGGTATTGGAATAAGTTGCTCATGAAGGTGGTGGAGTCGCTGCCTCCAGAAGCACTCACAAAGAGGTGTCTGCATGTTTGGGGATATGGCTTAGGGTAGATTAGGGTGGTGATGAGTTATTGATGGCCAGACTAGATGATCTTGAAGGTGTCTTTTAACCTTGATGATTCTGTGCTTCTGTGAAATGGGCATGTCCTTTGTTTTCTGCACTTGTAGTTAAAAAAAAACAACCCAGCTTCTAGTCTGAAAAGACTTTATGTGAAGGAAATTCTGACAATTAGGAAGGAAAGGCAAGGCAATATTTTTCTTTTTTGAGTAAGAACTATACAGACAGTTCCTTTTTAGAGACTTTTTATTAAGTAAATTTTTAATGATGGAATAGATGCCTGAATTATTTCTGTTCCTTGGTACAGCACAAAGGCATAATCTCGAGATGTTTAATGGATATATGAACTCAAACTCTGCTTCTGTGATCACTGTTCTGAATCTTTATTCATTGTAATAAACATGGCCTACAAGAATAGTGTAAATATTTTATAGTATAAATGTAAGATTTTATTTTAACTGTGGTGATTTTATAGAAATATATTTAAAGGGATTAATCAAAGAATAATTAGAAAGTCCAGTTAGTTTGGTACAGGTAAATAAATGTATTTGAATATTATCTTCTCTTTAAAATGCTGATTTAATAGCTTACCTTGTTCTGTCATGTAACAGTACTGTGGCAAGACTACTGTATAGACTGCAACGTCTGTCTTTCTACATATTAGGTTATAAGGAATAGATCTTGCCAATTTTTGCATGTAGATTTCACTGTGCAGTGATAGAAAGTTCCCTGTAGTTCAGTCAGAGTGCTCCCATGGACAAAGTGGGTACAGGTCAACATAAATACCAGAGAGCTGTGTTGATATAGATGGCTTATAGGTGGTTTTTGTTACTTCTTTTTACTTTTTTTTCCTGTAGACTTTCATCATCAAACATATAATATTTATTTATGCATAGTGTGTGTGCGTACATATGTACAAATATTGCTCTGAAGGAGGTTTTTTTTTTTTATTTCTGAGAACAGGATTATTATTATTTTCTAGTAAGTAGGTTCTGCTTGTCAGAAGTCTATATTATAGAACCAAAAAGAACTGGGAAAGATTCTGTCCTGGTTTATTCAATATAGTAACAAATTAAGTTTATTCAGTGAGTATCTGAATTTTTCAGCAGCTTTTGATACCAGTTTATAAAATCTGACTTTCTTATGTATTCCCTGTCCTTATTTTGGATGTAGCCTTGAAATTAGAGCTGTACTGCTGGTATCATAACTGAGTGCAGGATTTCCTGTTTTATCAGAGCTTTGACTAGGACTTGCTAAGAAGGTTTGGATTATAAAGATGCTGGTGCTTAGGAAAATATATTCTTTTTCCTATAATCTGGATAGCAAGATCCCTTGTAAGCCCAGTGTAACTAACTGGTTAAAAATGTGGTTGCTTCATGTTGTAAGGTTAGGAATACCAGTGTTGGAATTAATGAATTTTTACCTACTTCTCATAGGTTAATTTTAGAAAATTAGATAAAACTTCATTTAATATTATTGCTTCCAGAGCAACTTGAACCTATAGTGTTATATATCCTTTGTCACTATTTCCATCTGGTTGTGAAAGGCAGGCAGTTTGCTGCATATGTGTGCCATTATTTGGGAACTCCAGGTGTAACGTGGCTGTGTATGCACCTAGAGGCGTTTTGTAGGTGATGCATTTTCTGAAAATGTTTTCAGATGTGTCACAGCCTCACACAAGGCTCTTCTATGTGGAAATCCAAAAGAAAGATGAAAAGGAGACTAGAAACATTTCTGAGTCCATCAATAGGATGCAGCTTGAGGAAGGATCTGTCCCCCTGCTTGTAGTTTACAGCAAAGAGCTGAAGAGCTCATCCGAAGCAAGAATATATGCACATTCTAAAGATTCGTTTTCAGAATTTTATCTCCCTGTTTACCCTACTTTCTCCTCTGATAAACTTTAATTTTCTCCTCTGTTAAACATTTTCCAAAGGAGAAAGCCCAAACTGTAATAGAAAGTGTCATTAATATTAATTCTAATATGTTGTAGTTACTAAGGTACGAAATACTAAGTTGATGCTATACATTAGATGCATTCCTGAATGGAATGAATGTTTTGTCAACGTGCATGAATGGGAATTGCTGCCCTACTTACAATGCATTACTCTTTCATAGATTTTTATACCTCAAATGATTGCCAGTAAGATCTTCATGACAATGTGATGCGTTTGCCTCAACATACATTGTTTGAAGAAAAACAATTTTAGAATTAATGCAAAAATTTTATACTTTTAATAGAATATTTTTCTTTCACTTTTCTTACACTTGACACTTTGGATATTGAAAGTCTAGTTGGATAGGCAATTACTAGGCCTGTAAGGAAAGAGCCTTACAGCATTGAAGTATCAGAGATCACTCATTTCCAACTATGTTAAGTTTCCCATAGTAGGTCTGAAGAGGCAAAATACTGGAATTTAACCCCATCAGCTGCTAGAACTGAATTCAACAGAATTCATTTTATACCTTTTGTCACGAGGTCTTTCATCACAGGTTTACAAGGGGAAAGAGGGGAAAATTGTTTACAAGATAATTTGAAAAAATATGATAAAGTTACTCAGAGAATATTACCATTAACAGTGATGAAAAGCAAGAATAAATTAGTTAACAGAGCTCAGATGCAGCAGTCAAAAGTGTACAGTAGATCTACCTTTTTAAACGTTAAGTGCAAAATTATCAGAAAAAATAATATATCAGACATATGGAAATAAAAATGTGCAAAAATTTGTGAATTGTTTACACATGAATCCAGATGCATTTGTTTCAACATTTTTTACTAATTTTGTGTGTATATATATATATATGTATATACACACTGAGATGTAATTTATGAACCATTGAACCATGATTAAATAAAGATGCACAAGAAAGACTGAATGGGTGAAATTTATAATGTGTTGTTTACTTGTCCTGAAGTATTGTTTATTTAAAACAATGCCATGCTGATATAATATATACTGTGTTTTCCTTAAAAAATTCTGAAGCAACAGTGGTGCTATAAATACATCTGAACATGATACATGAATTAACATGAAGTTGCTCTGCATGGAAATTATCTTTTCAAAAGTGGCTGCTCTATATGAAGTGAAGTATCTTTTAAGTAAAGAGAATAGTATTATAAAAATGTTTTAAAATATTTATGACTGTAAATTTAAAGAAGGGAAATCTGACAGAAACAAGTTAAAAACTTGCCAGCCTACAGGGAGTTTTGCCTAAAATTCAAGATTTAATTTTTTATATGACTTCATAACTCTCCTTTAAAAGGCTGAAAGTTTAAAAGTATTTCAAGTATTTAAAAACTGTTATAAATCAAATATAAAATCAAATATATAAATACATAAATCAAATAGTGTGAATATTATTGCAAATGTGATTTGAAGGTAGATGGACATGGATACATGCTTGTGGCTGTTGTTAAATATATTGATAATGTGTACATTTTTATTTACTGCAAAAGTAAGCTGTAATATTCAGTCAGGCTTAACTTCCTCATATTGTAATAGCAAATTCACTGTAAAACATATCTTGCAATAAGCTGCGTTTTCCATATGTTAAAAATACTTGAATCCAAAATTACTGTATTTCTGCTTGCTTTAAATAACAGGTTTACTCTATTGAGTTAGTAAATAGTCACAGAAATAAAGCTTAGGTCAATATTTATTTTGAGAAATGATTAAGCTCAACTATAATTAGCATGAACATTGTATGTATTGTTACATATGCTCTCAGCAGTGGAAAGAAATTGTTTAAAGGTTTAGTCTAGAACTGCTGGATGTTTACATCTAGAACTTTTGAAAAAGCTGTTAATTTCTCCTAAAGTAAATTTTGAAATCTGAAGAAATACCTCCTGATCAGATTGCCTACTAGTCAAGGTCTGTCTAAAAAAAAATGTTATTTATTGGGCTCTGCAGAAATAAATTAGAAAGTGATAAAAAGGAGGAAAATAGCATTCAGTACTAAAATACATTCGTCAGAAGCTGAAGGGACTTCCAGATGTTTTAAATGCACATAGCTTCTTTCCTACTCTTTTTATACTCTAATGATTTTTCTGGTGCAAGAAGGAAGTCTGAGTATGAAACAATTATCAATTTAATAGGTAAATTGTACCTAACCTTTTAATAGGCTTATTTATTTTGATATTTTTCCATAAGATGTTCGAATATGGGTGAGAAGATCCTACTTTCTTCAAACCTCACGAACAGGTAAAATTCTTGCTTTATGTAGAGAGACCTCAGGTAAAAGTCAGCCATGGAGCTGGGATTATTTCTCCATAGTTATCCAACTGTTTGAGACTGTTTCAGAGACCACTTGTGTGAACACAGTGCAGAACACCAAAGTGAGCTACTGTTTGGTTGTTCTCAGTACTTCTTGAGCCAGGAGATGTAACAATACTTCCAATTTCTTTATGTGAATTTCAGTTGAGCCACATCAGTGTTGTCTTAGATAAGCTTGTTTGAATGATCACATTCATCTCTTAGCATGGTGTAATTGAAATATGCTGTAGTACTGTACAAGATTTTGTTCCATTCAGCAGAATCTCTGTTGCCCCCTTTTGCAGATGACGGTTGCTGCTGGTACGAGCATTGAGAATAACATTCAAAGGACCATATCCTGCCCTAATGTATGTTCACAATATCTTGGTTTTTTGCGTCATTTAAATGTGAAGCCTCCTTATGTGAATTTGATATTTTGTTGCCCACGGAAGCTTGTGCATCTCGAGGTTACTTCACATTATGTATTTCAGGGTCAATGAATATTGTACTACAAGTGAGGTCTCAGCCTATCAAAATTCCCAAATTGCTGCAATGTCTCTCTGTACGGTTTGATGGTGCAGCTAAATAAAGATGAAGATAATATATTCATAGTTCCTTCTGCATTTACCTTGCTTCCCAGCCAGCTCAATGCTCCTGTCAGTTGAAATCAGTAGAACAGCAATAGACAAAATGAGGAAAGCAATGAGAGGCTATATTTATTCTATTTAACCTTGTCCTAAACTGCATTTTGATATGAAGATGTGTAATAATAAATGTGGAAGGAAGGTAATTTCATTTTTCTTGCTTAGGCAAATGTATACCATGACTTAAAATAGAAGGGAGGAGACTTATTTGCTTATGAAAGGTAGAATTAGTGATGCATCTGGTTAAGAAAAGAATTATTCACTTGTAGTATAATAAGTCATTTGTCTTTTTAGACCAAAACTATTAGGTAATGGAAAGTTATGGGGCCAAAATTGAACTCTCATACATTAATGGGGAAACATTAATGAAAATTGGGATATACTCTTGACAAAAGACTGTGGATCTGAATTTTATAGAAGCTATTTCTTATCATGTAATGTGTTTACTAATTTATTTTTCAACTAAGGATTATCATATTTATAGGGAAACTGGCAGATGGAATTCTGAATAAACACTTCCATCCCCTTAAGTTCTTTGATGACATAGCAAATAATCAAAGAACAAGCACAATCTAGTTAAAGTAACTAATATCTAAAGGACAAAATGCTGTGATTTAATATTGATAAGAAGTGAATTTGTCCTCCCTGTCTCTGAAAATAATCTCAAACCAGTCTTTTTTCTGGAAAGTTTGTGCTCTTAAGGGAACACAGAGAAATTCTTTACACTACATTCTTAGCAGATACTTCATCTGACCGTCTGAATCATTGTGGATTTCTGCATACATTCCTGGAATAGATCAATATTATAAATTCTTGGCTATGACTTGTAGTGTTTGATTCCATTTTCAGAATTGCTTCTGTGAAAAGGAAAAACCCTTCCTCAATATATAGTGTATGATTAATCTCCAATCTCTTCTGGATTTTCAACACGACTTTAACTTCTCCAGTGCAATTTTAGTTTCCATTTTGCAAATTGTATCATTTGTAATGGAAGCTGGTAATGTAGACAGACAATATCTAGTAATATAGAAAGACAATAGCATGGCAGAAATGTTGAGCATGGAAAAATGCACTATTTCCAATTTAGTTATAGAAATCCATACTATTACTTCAAAATCCTTTGTGTTCTTTTAGTTTTCTTTGAGCAACTTGGTATGGTGGAAGATAGCCCTGCCTGTGGCAGGGGGTTGGAACTAGATGATCTTTAAGGTCCTTTCCAATCCAAAACATTTTATGATTTTTGAACTTATAATTAATAATGACCAAAATGTCTGTTAGTTATAAAAGAATCCTGGTTTTTTTATATAAGAGATAAATATAATCCCTATTAACATCTGCATGTCATCCAAATGCACTTGAACAAAAGCAAAAAGTGGAAATTTATGCTCAGTCTTTCACCCAGCATCTTACAAGGAGGACAGGAAGGCAAGTCAGTTCTACTTTACAAGTACAAAATTAAGTCAATAATTTCTTTTATTCCATTCAATGCCAACCTCCCAATTACCTGTGTGAACCATAATTTTAATGGTGGACATTAAGACTTTCAAATCTGCAGTTGAAATTGTTTGAATGCATGGTAAATTTTCAATTATTGGACTATATTATTCTGAAATGTTTCTGGTAATTACTGTGAATTGCACAACTTTGTATTTCTGCCTATTATAAAAGGGCTAACTACAGAGGATAGCCTCAAAACCATAAAATTTTCAGCCAGTATATATTGCACTGCTTCAACATTTTAATTACATGGCATTAATAATAAATTGTAATTAATTATAAACCTCAGTTACTTAGTCAAAAAGGCACAATGCATTTGGTTTGGCTTTTCTGGCTCTTCATCTCAGACCCAGAATATATTTCTAGAGCTACTCACCTAGAAGCAGTGTTTGAAATGTAAAACCATAAAGAAAACATAGAATAGATTGTTCATGAGAAAAATATGCTAAAATATTAAAAAAGGCTTTATTAAGCCTGATAACATTTCTTAATGTTATTAATAACAAATATAAGCAGGCTTTTAGATATAAAGGATGTGTAGTATGTAATTTTCCTTAATGGAAACACACTGCAAGGTTTGCAATAAAGCTGAAGCTCAGGAAGAAACTGCTATATATTCAAACTTGAGAATTCAGATATTATGGTGGCTTTCAAGGTACAAGTTGGTGGACAGGTTCCCACATATTAAAAGTTCTAATTTCTGTGCTGTTGCTCTGTGAAGTTTACACCTTCATAATTATAGACTTCAATTAACCTTTATTCCCTCATAAACTTTCTGTTTTATATTTTTCATTATAATCAACTTTTCATGCAGCAGAAGCTGAGGGAAGGAATGGATATTATATACAGTAATAAAATGCTTTGCAGATTATTCTCCTCTGTATTGTTTAGTAGGATATTAACTGCTAGGTTTGCTGTCTTTCATGCAAGATATCCCAACTAATGATTTCACGATTCTATCTGTCTGTCTGTCTGTCTGTCTGTCTGCCTGTCTATCTATGCTTCTGAATAGATTGGTCTTTAAACAACCACTCCACTCCAATTGCTCCAATTTGTAAGCACCATTTCTTGATAAGAATATCAGAAGATGTAAGCTTAAAGTGCACATACGTTATAAAATGGCTGGATGAACTTTACTGATGGATGCAGAGTCACTTAGGACAGTCTGTCACACTGCAATGTCTCAATGCCATTGCATGATGACAGGATGCAGTGCACAGACAAAGACAGGACACTTTGTATGCAGATCCAGTTGCTGTGGCTGTCTGACCCTGAGCTTCTGCAAAATTGCAGCACTAATACTTCTTTTCTTTACTGCTCTCTAAGGTCCACAGTGAAAATGTAAACAGGAAAATACAGAAGAAAATGGCGACAGATATTAAACATGCTGTGTTTCTTCATTCAAAACAGAATTTGGATCTGTGTTTTTGTAAAACAAAATTGAGCTATATAGTAAATGAAAACATACCTAACTGCATATAATTGAAAAGAAAACTATTTAATTTTAATCAAGTGCAAAACACAAGGCATTTTGTTCTTGAGCCATCAGCTGCAACACTCCTCTCTCATGGAGAAACCACATTTGTTTTGTCTAAACAGATACATGTCTTCAAAAATTCTTTGAGCTAGTCAGAAATTTTAGCGTTTAAGTGATCTGAAATTCCAAGTCTTTTGAATTCCAGTATATGTGATTCAGACTGTTTTTTTGGGTAGACACTTTTATTAATTACGAAGCTTTATGAGCTTACATTTTTAGCATCAATTTTTTATATTTTTTATGGCTTTACCCAAGATGTAGAGGCATAGCTATAGACATTTTATACAGGAGCTCTGTAAGAAAACAGCAATTTGTTTGTATTTTGTCAAATTCAGCAGATATGCAGCATCTCATAAAATTGCTGGTTTTCATCAATCAGCAATCTTAGTTCTTTAAGCTATTTCAAAAGGTTTTTTGGAAGGGTTATTATTGTCAGGAGAGGGCAGAGGCTGAAATATTTGGTAATATACAGATGCCTTAAAATATCAGCATATTTATTTTCCTCCTATATGAAAAAGAAACTGTACTTTCAAGTTTGTTTTTTGTAAATCAAAGATTAAATAGTGCTTTTTTTCATAAATTTGTTCATTTGAATAAGCTGAGCATGTCTTTTCCTTAAATTGAAGCTAAATGCTTTTATTCTGAAGCAGAATACATTTGTTTTCTCTATTGAGAACTGAGATCAAGAGGAAAAAGTACTCCAGAACTGCTACAGATAGGAAGAAAAAAGTCAAAGCCAAAACATAATTACAGGTCTCCAACCTTTCTCAGACTGTTACAAAAGCACTCTGAGCTCTCAGCTCAGCTACTTCAGCTCATTTTCCACCTTTATAGAAATCAGGGATTTACCAAACAGTGACCTCCCACTTGAAGCTAGAAACTCATTTTATGTGATCACCTGATGCTTTCAAGCCGAAGACCCTCTTGACATGTAGATGTCTTACTCGTGTCCATGGAAGGAAAAAATTGCAGGGAGGTTCTTTTGTCAAGCTTTTCACAAACTCCATAGTTTAAAGTCTTCAGGAGCTACTTCACTGACAAACTTGCAAAAAGAAAAACAATTTCAGTTTCTTCTCAGTGACAGTGGCAGTGCAGCTCCGTGTTTTCAGCATGGCACTAATTTTGGTCCTCACCTCTCACTTCCCTGCCACAGGGCCAGCAATTCTCCCTGTGCAGCCCAGCATTTCTCTGCTTCACGTCTCGTGTCAGGCAAGGAACTGGCAGATGTGCTGCTGGGCCAGCTGTGCCAACTGTGTTACATCAGGAGGTAGGAAGAGACAGCAGCAAAGCTTTGCAGCTGGGGGCATGCATCACTGGCAAATGCATGCCTTGGCAACAGTGGGGTGCCCTCATCCTCAAGGATGTGGCAGCACACTCCTGGTGATGCTCTTACAGGCACAGCATCGTGTCCTGGCATAGCTTTGCAAGCATTCCAACAGTTTCCCACGGCATTTGGCCTGACACAGCCCCAGTGCATTGGTTTGAGAGACTGAAAATTGCAAAATGGAAATTAGGAGTTTGGAATTGTAACAGCATTTGCAAGGATTTGCAAGAAGCAATTCTCAGATGATATCTATGTTAGTGCACACCTTTTTAATTTTATTTTTTCATCTTATGTTTTCTTCTAGAGCTCCCCTAGAAAACCACTGGTTTTCTCTTTTTTTTAGTTCCTTTGTTTTGTTTTCTTCCC